CCAAGACTGGAATCTTAAATGATGAGCAACGTCTTTGCATCCCCTAAACTGCAATCAGGGCAGAAAGAAGGGGATGGGGATATGTTTGGATTTTTTCCCTTGCCTGGTGGTAGCTACATAATGTCCTTCAGAAGTATGCATGTCTATATTCCAAAGGCTGGGTGAGAAATGGCTTTTTGATCCCTGTTACTCACCTACTCATAAGTCGTGTAAGCCAGTTCTGAGATCAGAGTAATTTTCCTGAAGGAGCTTCAGGTAAATGAGGAGAACAAAAACCAAATTGGCTGGCTATAAATAATAACTTCAGCTTCTAGGAAAACAGATTACTAATTCCATGATGACTTTAACAGTTGGAGAGCAAAGGCTAAGGAAAGAAAAACCAATGAAATAACCCACAAAATGCCAAAGTATATCTCTTATACCTAATTTCATAATCATGATACCACCTGGCATTCTTTTTTTTTTTTTAAGATTTATTTATTTGTGAGCGAGAGAGCAGGGGGAGGGGCAGAGGGAGAGAGAGAGAATCCCAAGCAGGCTCCACACTCAGCACTGAGCCCAATGCAGGGCTCGATCTTATGACCCTGAGATCATGACCTGAGCTGAAATCAAGAGTTGGATGCTTAACCAACTGAGCCACCCAGGTGCCCCACATTCTTTAGTTTTTAAAGGAGATAACTCATCCAAATAGTGCACTTCAAAGTTTAAGTGCTGCTTTGTAATTTATAAGATACTTTTACATGTTATTTATTTTATTTTCACAGCAAACCTATAAAATAATCAGGCCAAGTATTTTATGCACAAATGGTCTCATAGCCAAGCAGGTGAGAATAGGTCTAATACTACACCTTACATTGATAGACCTTGGTTTATAAAAATAGTTGTTTTGTAAATGTTTAATATAATTATAATTTGGAAGAATCTGATAATTTCTGATCTGAGAAATCTGCACCAGGAGAGTCTGCTCTGGTAGGGAACTTGGCTATTCATGTGAATAGTCCTCTAATGTAATAGATAGGATTTGCTAATCAGGATTTTTGTGTAACCAGTTTTCTTACAGCAAGGCTTTGAATGGCTCTGCACTGACCCCTGGTGGTGCCCTGCAGTCTTTCCTGTGGCTAATATGGGAAAGGCAGAAATGAAGCCTTATTTGGACCTGTTCTGCCTCTAAGACTGCTAAAGAGACCCTTAGCTACATAGGTTAAATAGTTAAGTAACTATTTAACTGAATAGTTAAGTAGAGAGGATATGCATTATTCTGCCACTAAAAATTATTTTTTGAAGAAATTTTATGTCAGAAAATGTTTACAATGTAAAGTAGAAAACAAAGATGTAAAGCTATGTCTATAATATGGTCCCAATTTTAAAAATATAGTCATACTTTATGAACTCTAAAAGAAAAAGAGTAGAAGGAAGTGTATCAGAATCTCAAAACTGGTTATCTCTCGGTGGTGATGTTATCACTGAGTTTTATTTTCTATAATCATATATTTTATCAGGGGAAACATTTTTAAAAAAAGAAAACTAGTCACATTATTGTCCAGCTAGGGTGACAGCAGGTGAGAGGCCAGGAGTCAGGCATACCTTAAACTCCAAAGAATGAGATCTGGTCTTGGCTTGGCCTTATCTTTGGTCATTGTCTTAGCAGACAAAATCGTTCAGTGCTTTGCAGCTGGCTTCAGCTCACTTTCAAGTGACCTTTCCATGGGATGGGAGTATTTGTGACAGGTTCCGTCCATAGCCTTGACTCTCACAAGAAGCGTTCACGTGGTATGTAGCCGCCTTCCCTTTGCCAGAGGCCCCAGCTAAATCGAACAGGAACCATGAAGGCTCTGCTTCCAGCCCACAATGGAAATTCAGCCATGGCCTGAGTTACTCTTTTGTTGTTTTGTTTTGTTTTGTTTTACTCTCTGAAACTTATAGCACAACGGTGAATAAAACTTCACACTCAAAGAAACCCCAACTTGTAGACTTTTATTTGAATCCCTGGGGACTCCTCTGGAGCCATTCTGAAGAGGAAATAAATGAGCCAGTAGGTCTGGCAAGAGTGAGTGTTATGATAGATACCATACTAGTCTTGACCGGAACCGCTTTCTCCCCTTATGCCCTCCCCAGACGCTGAACAGGATAGTAGTTTTTGCTTTTCCGCTTTTTGTCTTTCTTTTGTCCATGTGAAAGATGTCTGTGTTTTTGGAATGAATAAGTGACCCTCAAATGGGGGGATTCCCTACCCCCTTCCTCCTAAGATATAACCACCATTAACAATCTACTCTGTATTATTTTACTCCTTGGAACCAATCTGCTGGGGAACAGATTTAAACTCTGCCAATTGCCAGCAACCTTGGACAAAAATTTAACCTCTTTGCATCTATTTCCTCGTCTATAAAATGAGGACAATAGTACCTATATCATAGGGCTATTTTGACAAGTAAGTTAACATATGTTAAGCACTTAAAACAGTGCCTGGCAATAGTAAGTGCTCAATAAATGTTGGCCTTTCCCCCACCCCCACTAAGTATGAATGAACATTTTTTAAAACTGAAATGTGATCACCTTCTACATTTCTGCTTTATAAGTTGTTTTTGTTTTTTTCATTTCACAATGTATCCTGGATGCTGCAATGAACATTACTTACCTTTGCTCACTTGCCTAGTGTTCCTTAGGATAAATTTATAGAAATGGAATTTCTAAATGAAAAGCAATTTTTCCCTATTAGTTAATGTCAATAATATATAAAATATCACAGTTGTAAAAATCTTCTCTGAGGTAGACATCATTCCTTAATAATGCAGATAAAATAACTGGTTGAACTAGTGATCTGAATATATTCTTTACCTCTGAATTAAAAGGACTTTCATTAGGGGCGCCTGGGTGATTCAGTTGGTTAAGTGTCTGCCTTCAGTTCAGATCATGATCTTGGGGTTCTGGGATCGAGCCCTGCATTGGGCTCCCTGCTCAGTGGGGAGTCTGCTTCTCCCTCTGACCCGCTTCCCTCTCCTGCTGTCTCTCATTCTCTCTCTCAAATAAATAAATAAAATCTTTAAAAATAAATAAATAAATAAAAATAAAAAAAATAAAGGCCCTACATTGCTTAAGATAGAGACTATAAACTGCCTGTGTCTTTGTTTTCTTTTTCCTCAGTCCTGTAGCTGCTTTTGGGCCCAAGACCCTCTGCCTCTAATGGTCTTTAAATCCACAAACCAAGACGTTATGCTTTAGAATTATTTTTTCTTTTGTGGTGTCTTGTTTGTTTTCCTGTTACACCCTGAAGTACCTGCGCCGTTTACTTGTTATTTCTGCAGGTAGTGATTCTGGATGTCCGAGTTCCCTGTACACCTGTCGCCAGGTTGAACAACCACCGAGCGTGTGTCAATGGCATTGCTTGGGCCCCACACTCATCCTGCCACATCTGTACCGCAGGTAATCGTGGTGGCCGGGCGTGGGGAGGAGCCATGGGGGGGGGCGAGGGGAGGAGATCTTCCTCTTGTCTCCTTAGAACTGTAATCCTTGCTATTTCCTAAGGGTGGCTTGAGAGACTGAGCAAAGTAACTCAATTGAGAGCCTCCCTCCACTTGTGAAATTGAAGTAGTCCACATTTCCAGACGATCTCGTACCCTCAGTGATAGCAGAGCTCCTGCCGTGTACTGTTTACATCATGTATCAGTTACAGGCTGTGCCTCCCTGAAATCTAGGTTGGCCCAGAGGACTCAGATCCAGGACTGTGGAGAAGGGGGGCAGTCTCTCTTAGATGGAACAGAATGGGAATGGCCACGGTAGACACTCCCTGGGGAGACAGAACGACTTTGCAGTAGGCTCTGGAGGTGTTGAAGGCCCTGCGTGGCTTGATCACTGGTGTGTGACTTGTAGTCCCCACCTCACCATTTGCCAGACCGAAAAGAGTACCCCTGAAAAATAGGCTGGCTGTCAGTGTGCTTTTATTCTAGGAATAATATAAGCCTGTTATTAAAAATTAAAATAATACTGAGGTATATAAAATAGGAAGGTGAAAGTCATCTTTTCTCCTTCCTGTCCTATGTCCACCTCAGTCCCACTCTCCATAGGTGGCCTCTGACAACAGTCATTGTGTCTCCTTCGACACCTTTTTATGTGGGTACATGCCTACATATACCCCCCAGTACGAATGTCTGCCCCTTTATTTTACACAGACGGGATTCCACTCTCACCCCATAATGTTCTGCTTCTTATCTTTTTCATCTTCGGTGCCTCAGGTTTCTCTCTAATGTTCTTTTTCCTCTCCTCACTAATCCGTAGCATCCTCATTTCCTCGTTCATTATGAAGCCAAAGGAGCAGAGTAGTTTGGTGGTTTTGTGCTATTTCAGTATTCATTTGAAAGGCATGAAACTTTTCCTGTTTTTGGCCTTCTGCTCATGCCTGTATGTCACTGAGGAGCAGTTAGGGGCCTTCTGCCTTCCTCTGCACCTCAGGTTGTGGTCTGACTCCTTCGTGATTGCCTTCTTTTTTCCCCAGGGGAGTGGATAGGGAAGGGGGGGAGAAGGAAGAAAGAACGGTGTCCCTTGTTCATGGAGAACGGTACCAGCGCCCCCCAGTAGAAGCCCATCTTCCGCTCCTGGTGGCTGCCTTTGTGCGGCTCACTGCTGGGCACACAGTACCTGTCCCGAGTCCCTTCAGTTGAAGGAGCTTTGGCTGAAGAATGTGCTTGGTTGAGAGTGGCACTGAGGACAAAGAACTTAGTGCTCTAGATGTGCTGAGTGTTGCACACAGCTCCCCGGAGCCCCTGACAGAGGTGGTCCCTGGGAAGGGTATCTTGCACCTCGCCTGGGTTATATGGCCGTGGCACGAGGCTGGTGTTGCCCACACGAGCCTGCCTGGCATGTTAGGCTCCTCAAATCTCCTGTGTGTCAGAGATAGGTTTTCACATCAGGATGGGCTGATGGGATCAGGGGACACTGTGGTATTGAAGGTCATTGCCTTTTTATTTTTCTTCCCTTAAATTAAGAACTTATTGTTTTGATTATAAAAGTAAATGACCGCATTACAGATCACTTACCAACTAGAGAAAAGCAAATATAACTCATAACTTTGCCATCCTCATAGTACCACTGTTCTCATTTTGATATATTTTCTTCCAGTCCTTTTTCATGTGCTTATGTATTTTTTTTAAGGTGATTGCCTTCTTTCTGGTATTTCCCAGGGCAAAGAAGGTAGCTTTTCTAGGGAAGATTGTTTTTAATAGCACATGTCCACTCAGCACTTCATCTCATCTGTGTAACACCTCATCGAAGTATAAAAGTTCATGAAATAGGGTAAAATCCCATTAAGTTGAATGATCAGAAAGGGATCTTTAAGTGCTCAAGTACTTTAAGTGGCTGCAAATGACATGTTTGGGGATCATTTTTGTATCCCGTGGTCCTTTCCTGATGCCTGCCCCAGGTAAGAGGTGCCCGTCTAGGTCCCGTTCCACCATCCTAGCTCTGCCGCAGTGACCGGGGCCCTGGGGCACATCAGAGGCCTTGCTCTGAGTGCTGGCTCTGCCGTTCACGGGTTGCATAGCTCTGGGGCTCGGGGCAAGGGCCTGAACATTTCTGAGTCTCAGTTTCTTCATCTATAAAACGGGGGCTTGAAATCAAACCTCCCTGGCTGGGATCTTGGTGAGCAAATGCTTTGTGAACTGTGATCCCTCCACCCTCCCCGAATGCAGGGGCCATTTTCCTCCTTGCCCAAGTTGTGACCTTGCTGCTGGCTTTCTCTGTCACTAGCGGATGATCACCAGGCTCTCATCTGGGACATCCAGCAAATGCCCCGGGCCATCGAGGACCCTATCCTGGCCTACACAGCTGAAGGAGAGATCAACAACGTGCAGTGGGCATCCACCCAGCCCGACTGGATTGCCATCTGCTACAACAACTGCCTGGAAATACTCCGAGTGTAGCATTGGCGGCGCCTTGCCCACGAGGCGGGGGCTTGTGTGTTTCCTGCCTCTGCCCCATCCCCAAAGTAAGAAGAAGCGTGTTTCTGGTGGCCAGTATGTGTCTCACTGCTTTGCATCACTGTTAGCAGAAGCTGCTCTAGGAGTTCCTGGCCAGTCGTCCCGTCGCCGTCTGCGCCAGGCTCAGTCCTAGTGTGGCGCCTCCTCAGCCCAGGGCCGAGTTTTACAATTTTCTCTCCCTTTCTCTTCTCCTCCGGTTCCTCCATTAAACTTTTCTGTATATTTGTTTGTCAGCTATTGTGTTAATGAGCACTGCAGGCACTGGCTATGTTTGTACTCCTCTGCCCCAGATGTCTCTTACCTGTCTGCTGCCCGAGGCGGCAGTCTGTGTCTGTGTCCTGTTAGCACTTACGTGGGAACAAATACCAATTTGGAGTTGTCTTTCCTCCTATTATCAATGTCTTTAACAAATTTCAACTTTGTATATTTTTTACCTATCAGGCTGATTTTTTTACGAAAAGAACTTTACTCTTCCCGGTTTCTTCCTTTGTCTCATAGTCCACCCCATTAGCACTTCCTCTCTTCCCTCAGTGCCTGGATCTAGCACTGGGCCTTCGACCCCATGAGCAGTTTGCCTTCTTGAATCACTGCCTGACTGCAACGTACCTGACCAGGAGTCCCAGACCGCCTTGGTGCTCTGAAGTCGGCCAGTTCTCTCACCTGTTCTCAGCCCGGCTCTTCTCAAGGGCATTCTGGGCTCCCAGACAGACACGTGAAGCCTTCTGTTACTTCCTGAAGTACCTCTGTCCGACCCCACTGGGACCTGCTGGCCATGTGGTAGGGCTGAGAGAGACAGCGTGTCTGACTTGAAGGGAATGGTTTCAGAAAAGCTGAGCTTAGAGTGCATTTCCAGTACCTAGTTTCCGAGTCGGTGTTTCCCTCCAGATGTAAGTCCCAGGCCATTTTCTTTCACGTCTTGAATGATACGCAAGCACAGTCTGTAAGCTGAACTTTGGTATCTTGATTTGGTTGGTTTACTGTGACTGATGGTTGGCCACTCTTTGAGTGAGAGAGTCCTGCTTGAAAGGCACATAGTCTGTGTGTCTAATCCTGAACAAGATCTTCTTTAGATATGGGAGACTGTCAGCTCCTGGAAGGAGTGGATTAATAGGCTGTGATAATCCCAGGCCGTCAAATAAATAGATAGCTGCAGGGCCAGCCAGTTAAGGTGCACCTGTCACCACCCTCCCACCCCATCCCCCACCCCACCCCCACCATTAGGTGCTGAGCAGTATTGGACTTGCAGGCTGCAGTGTTTGTTTCCGTTACATGAGTGAGTTCCACGGAGAGGGCTTGTGTGTGATTCCGGTGGTAGATGAGTCTTTGGGCAGGCAGGGTTTGGGACATGCTCAGAGTCTAGGGGGACTTTGGTCTAGCATGTTCTGCCACAGGTTTTTGAGCCCCTCTGAGTTGTGTAGCTGTTGAGTCGGAGAGTAGCAGACCTTACGGCTGGTGGTTTTGTCCACTTGGGTTCTCACCTGCTCTTGAGAAACAAAACAATTTTGTTCTCCTGGGCCCTTAAACTCTTTTGTTTGAGTCTCCTTTTCCAGAGCAGATGTATTTTTAATCTCCAAAGTCACAGCTCTTTGCTTTACTACACAGGCACTTGTCCAAAGAAAAAGGCTCTTTTCTTAGCGTATCTCCCCTTCTACTTTTTCACTTTCTTACTCTGATTTTGAGGCTCTTTAGCTGGCCATCCACTTGAGGTTGACTTTCCTTCATTTACTACCAGATTTGCACTGTGTCATTCAGCGGTGTAAAGTGAGCAGTTCTTGGTCAGAACCCTCCTCTGCTTGTAATTCTTATTTGCTGGTTCCAGGGTCCTTCTCTTAAGGGTAGCAAGTCTAAGTTGATGGTTGCTTGCTCTAGGAGACCATCAGGTCCTTCCCCTGGGGAAGGGTCTGAGATGGAGGTCAGAGTGTAGGAGGGGCTGGTCGTCCTGGGGCAGGGCTTAACTGCACTGAGTTCTAAGTTAAGATTCCTTTCCTGATCTACACTTAAACGTGGTCTGCATGGTGAGATTTGTCAACTGGAACTGGAAAACAATCAGGAGAAAAAATTAGTAGTAATTAGAATGTATTTGCATAAAGTTGCTACTTCTCTGGAAACCAGCAACTTTTGGTGGTTTTTTTTTTTTCCTTGCCCTGTGGGCTCCCAGACCTCTCACCCCTCCCTAGGTCCTGCAGTGCGGTCCTCCTCCTGCTGGCATCGACCTGGGACCCAGGTGAGACTCCCCAGTCTCCCTGAGCAAACACATACACAGTCACGGTTGCTGAGATGCCGGTATTTTGAAGTCCCAGCTCCCTTTCCCTCCGTTTCCACCATAGGCCAGGTGGCCTCATGGCTAAGGAGGGGATTTCTGTAGTCTCAAGACTGAGAAAGCCTCTTAGCCAGGCATGCTCCAGGAAGCAGAGATCTGTTGTAGTTTCAAAAGCAAGTGTCTGTTTAATTTGTTCAGGTTTTCAGATTGCCACCCAGAGAGAATGGGCGGGAGGCTCTGGATCTGCTCTCCTTAAGTGTGAGAAGAGCAGTGGCCAGGGCTTCCCTGGAAAGGCCACAGGGCAGCATGTCCGGGCTCTGGCTCTCCTGGCGGTGGCCCTTCCGTATGCTCCTACCCCCTGGGCCGAAGCTGCCTTTGTTTTCCTTGTCTGCTCTGAGGGGACGGAGAGGTGCTAAATAAATTCGGCTTCAGGTTCCTCATCAGAGAGTTGGTGAATGGGTCCAAGTCCTTCAGGGGCTTGAGTATTTACACCCAAAAGAGTTGGAACCCTCACCTTCTAGGGAGGAATGGAGCTGCAAGTCGAGGACTTGAAGAGGGAAGATATTTGATCACTGGGTGAGAATTTCTTATCAGAACCAGGATCGGCTCTCAAAGAACCGGTTAAAATTTGGGAAAAAAACAGAAAAAATTGAGACTCCTACAAGGTTTTGATGATAGTTTTGGCTGAAATTTTCGGAGGAGATTTGAGATGTGGGAGAAAATCCATGGTAAGTGTTTCTTTAGATCAAGAGAGAAGATATTAGAGGGCATGAAAGGTCTGGGGTGGCCATGGAATGAGGCTGGGGGCACAGCCTCTGTCAGCCATTTTGGACCATCCGTCAGGTATCTGTGGCACTGGCTAACTGTGGGGACAGGATGGCAGCTCGGGCAGGGAGCCCCTTCCTGCAGCACTAAGCTCTAGGTGATGTTCGGTGGCAACATCCACAGGTGGTGGGCGTCCCGTGGCCATTCCTCATCATGGCTCTCCTTGGTTGTAGGCCTGTACAGAGCAGAGGTTGTAAACAGTCCTGCCGATTTTCCTCCCCTCCCTTTTCTTTTCTCTTCCTCTGGCCTTGCCCCCATAGAACTTTCTCCCTGCTGCAGCCTGGGCCTCAAGTCGGAGGCGGTAAAGACAGGTGGGAGCTGCAGGGTTTACCACACCTGGGAGGGCCATCCCCAGTTTGAGAATGTGGCAGCTTCTTTGCCTGCCTGGCTTGGAGTAAGGGAGACTACTCAAGTAGACGCCTCTCTCAACGCAGATGCTTCCCTTTACTCTGTGCACTCCAGGATGAGGAAGGAAGGTCATGCCTGGCACTTAAGTTGGGATTTCCGAGGGAGGAGAGCTGAGCTGAGCTGAGCATCACTGTGAGCCCTGGACGAGGCTTTCGTACTGGCTGGGCCAGCTGCCCCCAGCGTCTCCTGTTGCAGAGCCTTGCCCACCTCTCCCACCTGCACCCTCTTCTTCTCCCACGATTGTCGTTGCCGCTGGCTCTCAGAGTTAAAGGTGTGGCTACACAGTGCGGGCCCTGTCGTCTCAGGCTACTTTGTGGATATTCTTTTTTAAGTTTGGAAACGTGCAGGTGCCTTCCCAAAGAGGCTTGGACTGGTGTATCAAACCAGAAACAAATAAGCTAGTGAAAGTATGAACTCAAGAAGAAAGGTATTGGCAGTCATTGTAATAGCTAGAAAACTTACAAGGACCCACCTTTAGGACAACCCAGTGACTATGGACTTGTGGTGTCTGCCGTTTAAGAGAAATGCTCTAGCCTGGGGTTGGTTGTGGTAATCCGGTGTGCAACGAGACTTGTTGAGCTACAGCTTTGACTCGCTTGAGTTGAGTATGAATCACTTGCTTGGGTTCCTGTGTATTTTATGACCCTGTCAGTGACTTCCCCCTGTCCTCCCCCGAATGTGAACTTGTAGCATGATTGTACAAACCTCTGTGTAGAAAACGGAGATTCCTTGTTCTCTGAGATGTTAAGCTCTAGCCAATCAATTTCTGTCCCCTCTAGCCTAGTACGTCTGAACTTCATTTCTTGTTACATATTTAAACTTTTCCTCTATACTCTAGGTTTTGTGACCTCCCATGGTCAGGTGGAGAGGAAGCTGCCCCCTACGGAACTGTACTATCACCCGTTTTTCTTTTTAAAATATTATTATCACAGGACTGATTGTACACAGGGCTTGTAATAAAATGTTAACACTGTGCTGTGAAACCATAATGGTAAATCTCCATTGAAGGCGACTTCAAAGGCACCTGAAAGTGGAGTGTTACATCTATGACTTTATTTCTTGCTTCCTGAGTATATTAAACCTAATTTTCACCCTTTCATTCTGTTTCAGCCTCCTGTATAAGAAGTACCGTATTTTCTGCCCATCATACTTTGTAATAAAACTTGAACATGTATAGATTGACTGAATTTCTTCTTGTGATGAATTCAGTTCATCTCATTCTGCCACTGTGGTCCTGTTCCAGAGATACTGGCTGGGGGCTGAGAGTCCACCCCAGCCCATCTCACTATCTGTCAGCCGGAGTCCTCCCTTTTAATAAAACACAGAGCACCTATTCTGTGCCAGGGGCCATGACCCTCAAGTTGCTTGCAGTCTCCCAGATAAACAATTCCTGGCAATGTTGTGCAATACGGGTGTGTTTAGGCTTACTGGTTGCCCTGAGGAGGAGGTGATCCCCTACGTCTGGGTAGGAGCCAGAGGAGGTCAGGGAAAACTTCACAAGACAAGGGATGTTCAAGCTGAGTTTTGAAGGCTGAGTAGGAGTTCTCTGGGAATAGGGAAAGATATTTAAAGCAGAGAGAACATCCATGTACAATGCTATAGAGGCAAGAAAGAATATGGCCATATTAAGAGAATTATAAGTTGATGTGGGATTTTGAATGGGGAATGATGGGGAGTGTGACTAGAGAGGTAAGCAGGAGCCAGATCAGGCAGAGTCTTTTGTATGAGACTTTGGAAAACTCACACAGAGGGAAGTCATGCTCAGAATTGCACTTTAGGAGTCAGTGAAGAAAATGCCTGAGTAGGGGGTGAAACAGGGAGGCAGTTCACTTATTGTAATAGGACGAGAAGAAGTAAAAGCCTGACCTAAAGCAGGAGCAGGAGGGGAGGAGAGGACCGGGCATAACTGAAGAGATTTAAGAGACAGGGTAGTCAGGATGCAGTAAACTACTGGCTCTGAAGGATGACAAATGATAACTCCCAGACCCTGTGTGTTTGGACACCAGGTTCTGATGACTGGCTAGGGTTTCCAAGTCCAAGCCAGTTTCCTCAGCCTACGCCCCAGCGTGGTAAGATGGAGGAGTGCCTGTCCCCACTGCTATTCAAATGCTCTAAGTCCTGGTTGAATACTCCCTCCGTTTATTTTTATTTTCATTCTGGATTCACACTTAGTCATTTCAAGGGAAGAGAAGGGCAAATTGTGACTGATTCTGTGAGCCAGTATTCGGCAAGTAACTGCCATCATGTCAGAAGCATTGAGCTGGGGGTGGCAGTAGGTCTGGGGAAAAGTATGTCCTCTAAGAGTTTATGGGGCGCCTGGCCGGCTCCGTCAGTAGAGCACGCGACCCTTAATCTCAGGGCTGTGAGTTCAAGCCCCACGTTGGGTGTGAAGCCTACTTTTAAAACAAACAAAAAACCACTTTCAAGAGTTTAGACTCTATGTGGCCAAATGAGCACCTGCTGGCTCTGTTAGAACTGTGCTATATGGTCAACAACATGTATGGGAAATAGGAGATTCCTGTTTTAAGGGGAGCTCTGGGAGAGTCGTACTGGCGGTATTCATCTTGCTAGCCTGGGCTAAGCTGCAGTAACCAACCCCCACATCGCAGAGACTGAACACAACAAAATTTTACTTTTTGCTTATGTGAAGTTCTTTCGAGTTTGGTCAGCTACATCATCCAGAACTTGTGGCCTCCAAGGTTGCTTAGAAGGGGAAACTATGTTAGGAATAGTTTTGCCCATATCTGCCAAATTTAGTAACATGATTCCAACCTAACTGCAAGGACATTTAAGAAAGACAGTCTGCCTGTACGCCTAGGAAGAGGAAATAAAGTGGCGGATAAATAGTTCTGTCTCTGCCACACCCATCAAATTAGCAACCAAGCTCATTGTTAATGATTTCAATGATCCTGAAAACCAGGCTCTAGAGATAGTTCAGTCATCTGTGAATTTATCTTGAATATTAGCTTAGACAGAAAGGAAAATTCTGCCCTGCTGTTCATCACAGATAGACACATAAAACCAGTTGCAAAGTTAACAGGAAACAGTATTTCATCCAAGCACACCTGCAACTTAGAGTGTTATAAAATTTCCCTTCTCTGAGTGACTGCTTTTCTTTTTTTTAATTCACTGAGAAACTTTGTTCTCTAAAATCAGAGACTCCTGTTTGAAATTCTATCAGGGAGAATGAAGACTTGTAGTCTTGCTTGGAGAATCTAAGTCACTCTTGACAGAGAAGCAGCCTTGATTTCCAACCCAGGTATAGAACTTCAGAGCAGGTGTTTCTGAACATGGCACTCCCCATTTAGCTTTGTAGTTTGCACAGAAACTGAGCTCAGTCTGCTTTGCAGTCCAGAGCTGATGTTGACCCACTTCTCATACAGCTCTGTGTTCCGTTGAGCCTATCAAACTCTATTTCATTGAAATTTCACCTAACTTCCACCTTTCCCCACAATCCTATAATAATTATCTTTTCCTTTGGTAAGACACCCCCCCATCCTTCTGGTGTGGAGTTTTCCTTGTTGGACTGAGTCCGTAGCCTGACTTTGTTGAACTACAGGTTTGCCCTGGTAGACTTAGGCTGCTTGGACTAGGGCAATCTCAGACTTTACTTTGGCCTTCATGCTTATTTGTGCTTATAAATTCCCTTAATTTTCTTTTTGCTATTCAAAGTTACATATTAAACTATATTTTTAAATGACAAAAAAGTAATACTATATATGAATAGCTAGTAAGCACATGAAAAGATCTTTGACATCACTAGTCATGAGGGAAATACGAATCAAAAGCACAATGAGATATCACTTTATACTCACTAGTGGCAACAGCTATAGTCAAAAAGAGGTTAAGTGTTGGCAAGGATGTGGAGAAAAGTGGAAACCTCATGCATTGCTGGTGGGAACATAAAATAATGCAACTGTTTTGGGAAACAGTCTGGCAGTTCCTTTCAAAAGATTAAACTGAGTTACTACACAACCCATCAATTCCACTTCTAGGTATATACAAGAGAAACAAAAACATATCTATACGAAAACTTGTATTTGAATGTTCATGACAATATTATAATAGTCAAAAGGTGGAAAAAATCCAAGTGTCCATCAACTGATGAATGGATAAATAAAACATTGTAGCTTCATGGCATTATTGATATTATTTGGCAATAAAAGAGGAATGAAGTACTGATACATGCTATATCAATGAACCCTGAAAACATCATGCTAAGTGAAAGAAGCCAGTCACAAAGGACCACATATTGTATGATTCTATTCATGTGAAGTGTCCAGAATAGGCAAACCCATAGAGAAGAAGTAAATTGGTAGTATCTTAGGACTGAGGAAATTGGGGGAAAATGGAGAATGACTGCTAATGGATACAGGGTTTCTTTTTGGGGTGACTAAAATGTAAAATTGATTATGGTGATGGTAACATAAATCTCTGAATACATATACTAAAAACCATTATACACTTTAAATTGGTGACTTGTATGACATGTGAATTATTTCAATAAAGCTGTTACTAAGAAACAAAAAAACAACTATGCTGGACACAGGGGTCCCGTCCTGCTCTCAAAGAATTTAATACTGTGGCGGAGACAAACATTTTTAGGTAAGTGCTAAGGTACAGGCGAGTATGAAGGATCATGTGAGCACAAAGTAGGGCATCTGAGCCCAACAGGAGAATTAGGGGATGTTTTCCTTTGGTGGAAAATGATGTCCGAACTGAATCTTGAAGGAAAAACAAAATTTAGCGAGGCGAAGTGAAGTGGAACAAGGATCAGCAAAGCCCCAGGTTTGTGCTGAATACAGGAACTTGGAAAAGTACAAGAGCAATCTGATGTTTGTAATATGGCAAAGTACAAGGAGGAGAGTGCCGAGCCCATCACAAAGTAGGTTGGATAATAAACAACAACAATAATAAATTCCTAAGTGAACTATTAGTTAAAGCTAAAAATTTGAGTTGGACTCTAATAAAAGTCGCCCCCACCTCGGCCCCGGCTCTGCACAGGTACGAGAAAGGACCAAGTACCGTGCGGCGGAACGGATTTTTCGGGCGGTGGGGGCGCGTTTCTGGAACGGACCGGGGAAAGGAAGTGCGCTACATTATCTAAGGCACCCGCGCCCGGCCTCCGCGGGTTTGGTATTGGGACGGTCGCGTCCGGGCTGCCCGGGGCTGGCCTGAGCCCTTGGGTCTCTGGTGACGGGTAGAGGCGGCCGCAGGCTCAGGACCTGCTCGTTTCCGCCTCGGACGCCACGGGCTGACCTTGGCCGCTGCTCGTTGGCTGTTCTTGCTGACCTTGGTCCAGGGTCGGAGCCGATGGCAGCTTGGGCCGCCGTCAGCCTGAGCAGGGTCGCTGCCCGGTGCTTGCCGGGGGCGCGAGGCCCCGGAGTCCGGGCGGCTCTTCCGCCCCCCCTCGCGGCTTCCCAGCCTGAGCCCACGGGCTGTACCCCCGCTCTGGGCAGGACGCTGCACCTCACCGCGACGGTCCCCGCCGGGCACAACAAGTGGTCCAAAGTCCGGCATATCAAGGGTCCCAAGGACGCCGAAAGGAGTCGCATCTTCTCCAAGCTCTGTTTGAGCATCCGCCTGGCAGTTAAAGGTAAGTCACCCGCTGCTGCCCTCTCTGCGCCCACAGCTAAACCAGCCCCCCCCCACCTTGGTCCTTCATATTCTTTTCTTTCCCTAATTCCCACTTCATAAACGCTCAGGGCACCTACCTACATTGTATGTCTCCACTCACCTTTCCAGATGCTGAGCACCGGCCTGCGTGGCAGGGAGTTGCTCTTAGGACGATAATGGTAAAAGTGACTTCATTCTAGTGTGTAGCCGGGTACTTCATAGAAACAGACCCTAAGAGTAAGGTCACATGTGTATCTTGCCTGAAGAGACAAATCAAGTCCTCTAGTCCCCTCTGGTAGCACATAGGCTGTGGAAGGGGCATGGAGTAAATCTATTACTGGCCCAGTCTCAGTTTGCTTCATTAGGGTGTCCTAAGAAGACACATTTACTGGAAGGTAAGTTTGCAACCTTGTCTTTTTCAATTGTGTAGCCACTGCAAGAGAACTTTTTTGTTTTTGTATTTAGTGTCAGATACCTGTAGGAGTGGAGAAAAAAGTCCTGTAAAAATCATGGACTTTGGGGTCAAGAAGACTTGGTTTCTGTCACTTACTAACTGTATGACCTTG